CCCCCTCCCCCTCTCCTCCCCCTTGCCATGATCATCAACATAAATGGCCAGTAGGGGCAGTGCTGAGGTCAGGGCCCAGTCTCAGCACAGCAGCTGGCCTGCGAGTCCTTGCTTGGACCCCACTGTGGTACCCACCTTTGAGGACAGGCCTCTCACCGATGCTCTGGATGCTGTAGGCAGCTCTGGACAGGGGCACATCTGGAATGAGCTCTGCCAGCAGGTACCCAGAATACCAGGCACACAGGGAGGCGAAGATGAAGAACACTGCCTTTAGGGTGCCTGCGCACAGACAAGACAAGACACGTTGGCTGCCTCCCCCACTGACCCTCTCCTCCTCGGCCTTCCCTGGATGGCATCCCTGAACCAGTGTCAGCAGGATGCCCTGAGGGGAATCACCCCGGGAGGCGGTGGGCTGGAGAGGGCCCGGGGCCACTCAGTGGAGCCACAAGAGCGGGTACCAAGAACAGGATGTGAAAGCGGTCCAGGCCGAGGTTCCCTATTTGTTGCTGTGTTGGGTCTCAGAGCATCCTCAGAGGCTTAGGTCAAGGACTCATCAGGTGGCCCTGACAGGGGCCTAAGGACAGAAGCGGCTCTTCCCTCATGAGCCGCTGGAAGCTCCTGGAAGCAGATGGAAGCTCTCGGGGGCGGCGGGGGCGGCTCTGTTTTGTTTACTGCTGTGTCAGCAGTGCTGAGGATGGTACCTGGTGCCCGTGAGCACACAACCGCCCCGTGACACTGGAAAAGGTCCCCAGACTGTCAGTATCCTCAGAAACAAGGCTGCGGGGACACCCAAGGTTCCTGGCGGCAGAGTCCCTGCAGAGAGTTTGTTAACTCCAGAACCTTCCTCTCAATTCTGCAGGAAAAGGCACTGCCCCGCTCCTGGGTTACAGGAGGCCTAAGGGACAGCTCTGTCCCTTCACAGACAATCTGCTCCCGGGTCTTACAGACTTTACTCCTTAAACAGCTCGCAGGTCAGGACTGTGCAGGATTACCAAAACTGCCAAGATGCAGGGATGGCCCGAGGCCCTGCATAAAGGGACCTCAGGGATGGCCCCATCAGTGTTTATGTACTGACATGTCCAGTCCTGAGAAATAAGAAGAGGACGGATGGTTGGATGGATGGAAGGAAGGAAGTAAAACAAGAGGAGGGGAGGGGAGGCGAGAGGAAGAGCCCGCCCACCTGACCACACACCCTCCTCGGCTGACTCATTTCTGTCCCCTCTCAGGCCAAGCATCTGGAAATAACCGTCCTCTGGATCAGCCTCCAGGCCTCACCTTCCACCCACGGCTCAGGGCAGCTGTGCTGGTCTAGGCCTCCAAAGCCTCCAGGCTGCCAGCCCCAGGCCCCCGATGACGGTCCTGACCCGTCCATGTCCCCCCTGGGCAGCACCCACACTCCTGGGGCGGGTTGGGGGTGTCTCCCACGCTGTCTCTGCTGGCTTTTCCCTCACACGGTGCAGCCTGGCTCTCTCCGCAGGATCCCAGATGAACTGACCCCCAGACCATCCTCTGAGCTCCCGACAAGCATGTCCACTTGCTGATCCCTCTGGGCACCTGGGACGTCTCGCAGGGACTGACACTTAGCACGTCCCGCATGAAACCCTTGATTCTCCCCGGCTCCCCGAGTCTGCTCCTGCCCCACATCTTGCCCAGGACAGGGTCAGGTGTCTGGGCCTCTTCCTGACTCCATACGTCCCCCTGCCAGCCCTCAGTGGGATCCACCAGCCAGTCTTGCTGGGGTGACCTCCATAGACTTTGCTACATCTCTACAGCCTCGGTCCCCCCAGGCCCGCAGCACCTTAGCTCTTCTCTCTCGCTGCTAGAGAACCTACGTGCTCCCCGTGTTGGGTGCTTATCTACCAAAGTGGTAGAATAAAGAATATATCTCATCTTTATCCCAGTTTCTGGCACAGAACTCCTGAAACCCTTGGAATTTCCTGATAGGAGCGTCTGGTGTTGTTCATAAGGGGCCCCTTTCAGCCACACCTGAGCTTATGCTAATGAGGTGACTCGGGGTGGGTCCTAGGATAGCTTCCGGGGAGGGGCCAGCCAGCCCGGAAAGACCCTGCCCACACCTCAGCCCCGCCCCCGGACCTCCAGGAGGGGAGAGGGCAGGTAAGCTGTCCTGTGACCAATGACAGAGTAAGACCCCAATGAAACTCGGGACTCAGAAGCTTGGGGGCTTCCTGGTGGGGAGCACACTGATGTGCCAGGTGGGGGATGCACCCTGACTCCCAGGGCAGTGGGCACGGAACTCCTCTTCACCCTGCATGTCCCTGCATTTGGCTGGTCCTGACTTGTATCCTATACAATAAAACTGTAATCTTTTTTTTTTTTTTTTTTTTTTTTTTTTTGCGGTACGCGGGCCTCTCACTGCTGTGGTCTCTCCCGTTGCGGAGCACAGGCTCCGGACGCGCAGGCTCAGTGGTCATGGCTCATGGGCCCAGCCGCTCCGCGGCACGTGGGATCTTCCCAGACCGGGGCACGAACCCGTGTCCCCTGCATCGGCAGGCGGACTCTCAACCACTGCGCCACCGGGGAAGCCCTAAAACTGTAATCTTAAGCAGAGTGATGCTTTCAGTGTTTCTGTGAGTTGTTCTAGCAAATTATTGAACCCCCCAGGAATTGTGGGAACCCCCAGATTTGTAGCCAGCTGGTTAGAAGTGCGGGCGGTGCCCGAAGCCCGTGGCTGGCGTCTGAAGACAGGGCAGCTCGTGGAGGGCACTGCCCTTAACCCCTGGGCTCTGGAGCTTATTGTGGGTGTTGTGTCGGAGCTGACCTGAATGGCTGGACACACAGTTGGTGTCAGAGGGCTGGTGTCTCCCCGCCCAGAGCCCTGAACAGAGACCAGTGGGTGTTCCCCGGCCCCCTTTCCAAATGTGCAGCCGCAGCCCTCCAGCACCAAGCCCGGGGGGGGGGGGCCTCTCTCTCCGGGTGGTGATGAAACGCAAACCTCTGTCTGTCAGTCCGGCTGTGTTGAGCTCTGGATCCAGGCTCCCTCTTCATGCCTAGCACCTAGAGGTTCCCCCCAATGGTTAGGTTATATCGGGTCAGTTCCCCCCAATGGTTAGGTTATATCGGGTCAGTATTTGCTGGTGTTTGCCAGGTGGCTGCTTAGCTTAGGTAGTCATCCTGGTGAAATGGGATGCCTCTGTCTCACGTGGACCATTTGGTCTTTTTTCAAGTGCATATTTCAACATCAGTTATTTCTTTCTCTTTTCCAAACCACGCAGTCCCCAAGATGGTTAGAACGTAATGCAGCGATGGCTTCCTGCTGGGAAATGCCTGAGACAGCGTGGCCGCTGCAGCTCCTAGGATGGAGGGACATCTCCGAGCCGGAAAAACCAGCCACAGAAAACACAGCGAGAACAACAGGTGAAGCTGGTGCGCTGTCCTTTGTTTGCTCTGTGCTCCAGCGGTGCTGACCCACTGCAGTGGCTGCCCTTTCCTGCTGTACCCTGGGTATGAGTTTGTCCCTCTGCCCTCACAGCGCTCTCCTCCAGACCCCTGGCCACCTGTCCACTCCTTCAAGGACTCCAGTGCGGCTCTGTGGCCTCCTGGGTGAAGCCTGCACAGGCACCCTCAGGTCAGCCCTTCACATGCCTTGTCGGAGCTGCCCACCACAGCTCTCCCCTCCAGGTCTGTGCCCGCATAACTAGGACGGTGCGAGGGTCACAGGATGTTCCAAAAAACGCCGCTGGATGCACCCTGGGTAGACAGTGTGATCTGACTGCTGGAAACATGGATTCAGCATCGATAAGAGTCTCAGGTTCGAAAACAATAGTTCAGTGTCCTGCGTGTCGAATCACTGCCAGACTATTTTATCCAAGTGTCGTATTTGAAGAAAATTGACAAAGCAGAGATTATTCAGATCTTCTGAGTGTCACACGTGAGATCTTTGAGTGAAGAGTTGCTTTTGATTTGGAGATGACTGAAAGGGAGCATGCTGTCACCTCTCAGGTACCTTCCTCCCCGCATGGAAGGGAGGCACGGTTTGGTCCCCAGGTGGACAAGGAAACATGGGTGGCAGTGACAGGGAAGGCAACGAGGAGAGAATAAAAGCCCATGCATCCTCACTAGGAGCGCTGTGAGCCCCGGGCTTGTGGGACCACAGGCACCCCTCCCTGGACATTTTCCAGGGCTCCTGGGAAGGCTACAAAGCATCTGTGGTCTGGGTGAGGGGCGCAGCGGTGGACCCCCAGGCCAGGTTTCCTGCCGTGGCTGCGGAAGCCATGACTGGAGCCAGAACCAGCTCGCGGAGGGAGGCAGACCCAGCAGCACGCACTGGGACCAGCTCATCATGAGAAGATGGGGCACGGGCTGGCGGTGGACCCTGCACCCGGGATGGGGCAGGCACAGGCGAGGATTTGTCCTGGGAAAGGCGAGGGCTCAGGGACTCAGCTAAGACAGCTCGGGGCGGGGGAAGGGCCTGCCCTGGAAGGAGGGGTCCAGCAGCTTCAGAGTTGGGGGGCAGGCAGAGGAAGTACACAGAGTCCGCGAACCTTCTGTGGCTCTGTGACCAGGATCCGGCCTTTTCTCATAAGGTAATAAAGTCGACATCAGCCCATCGACACATCCTAAGCACTTCCACACAGCAGGTGCCCGTGAGTATTAGATCAAAGGCCAATGCGGAGCACAGGTAGGAAGCCGGAACTTCCTCCTCAGAGGCTCTCTTTTAGGGCGCATGTGTGTGTGTCCTACCCTTACCCCACCCTCAGATTCTTGGGGGTCTCAGGCTGGCCCTGACACTTCACTTAGGCTGGAGGACAAAGCAGTCCTGAAGCCAGTATACACGAAGGCAGGTTACAGGTAAGTGGGGGTTTCGGGATCCCCCTCCCATCCAATCCAGGGGCGCTGCAGAGGGCCATTCTGAATCCATAAGAAGACACTTTGGAGGGATTTCCTTCCACATGAAGTGGATAAGGATGAGGTTTGTCACTGGCCACCTCCCCACAGGAACACACATTCCCTCGCCTTGAGGCAGCCACACCTGCACCTCTTGTCCCTGAGGGGTGGATACGCCAGACTTGGGGTGCAGCTGCTTTGTGGCTCCAGGCTCTGCTGGCCCCAGTGTCCACTGTTATCACTGTCCTGCTGACGGAGGCTTTTTGGCAGTAGGGCTGGGAAGTGTCACAGCTGAACACCTCAGCAGGTTGGCACGGTAACCCACCGTCCAAAGTTCACATGCCAACGCCCTTAATTTTGAGGAATTAGGATGACTGCTCTGGGAAGCTTCCTCCAGCTTGTGAAGGGTGGTGATGGCTTAATTTACTTCATCCCTTTAGTCTGAATGTCCTTCTTGTGAGCTGTGTCCCTACATGGGACGGACCTGGGGCTTGACTGAAGCATCGAGGGAAATGCTGCTTCCACGAACGTTACCTAATCTTTAGCTCACAAAATCAAAAGTGATGTGGCCCTGAGCTTCTGTGAGTAATTTCTCAGACAGCCACACACCTGGATATATGACAACCTGGTGTGAACTCAAACCTTGATGTGAAAGGACCACATAGCTCACAAATGAATCACAAGGGCTGCATGCGAAAAAGCTGTGAGTGGAGGGAAAGCAATCTGATCATATCCATCATTTTCCACTAAGTGAGCAGCAAAATTGGACAGTAAGTATATAATACAGGCACGATGGAAAAAATTCTTCCAAAATAGCTGTAATGAAAGTCAGTGCCCCCAGGGAGATCTTTTCTCCCAAGAAAAGAGATATGTATCTCCTTGCATTTATCCTACAATGCACACAAGTTACCAGAGACAGTGCTGTTCACAAATAAATGGTTTTGTAGAGAACTTGCATATTTTACACAAATAAAAAGTCTTAAAATTTGGCTTTCCTACCCATTGGGGATGGAGCAGAAAGGGGGTGCTCAGAGCCTTCTGCAGTGAGACCACACAACCAGACCGCCACTTAGGAAGGAAGGAGGCCACAGAGTCAAACACCTGGAGGCAATGACCTGCCACTGAGAGGTGGGGTGCTGGTCCCTAGAGAGGCCAAGAGAACTTTCCAGTGTTGAACTTTTAATTTTGCATTATACTCTGCCTTGCTCTGGAAGGACTCCAGATTCCTCAGATTATAGGAAGAAACAGCAAAACCACTTAGAAAGGGAATGTGTGCCAGAGGCCGTCGGTTCCGGGACCCCAGAGCGCCTTGCATACGCAGGGCAGGCAGGCGGGTGGGAGAGGCGCACGGAGACCACCGTCAGGAAGGCGAGCAGTGGGAGATGAAACGGCTCGGAAAGAGTCGGAGGTTTTCTTTCCTCCTTCCTGTTTTTTCCCCCAAATCTTCTCAGGCTCAAGTACTTTGATAGAATGGTGTGTGTGGGGAAGCCTTATACAAAGATGCTACCGGAACTGTTATAATAAGGGACAATGGGACAGTCTATGCTAATGAGTCCCCACTTCTCACCCACCCACAGGCTGGTGACTGAAAAGGGGTTGTCTCCCTGCCTCCGCACTTTTCATCATTTCCTTGTCTGGTCAGGTGGACCTGCGGCTATAATGACCTCTGACGGCAGCCCGAGGAGCCCCAGGTGGAGTCCGCAAGTGCCTCTAACCGGCGCCCGGCAGCCCCCCTCCCGGCCCAGGAGGTCGGAGATGGGGCCGGGGCCCGCCCCTACCGGCACCTGCGCTCGGCTGGAGGGAGCCCTCTCCCCCTGGCCTCACTGGGTCCTGCTCTAGCTGCGCTCAGCCAACGCCTACTTTCCGGGCAAAACGTCACAGTCACTGATCTGCCCGCATCCCGGCCCTGCACGCAGCTGGGGCAGTGGCGACCGGCAGGAAGGCGGCGGGAGACCCCAGCCCATTTGCCCCTGCTGGATTCGCTGGGCGCCTTCCTGAGCTCAGGTCCAAGAGAAGCCCCTCCTTCCCGGCCCGTGCCGCCTCCACCTCTGGCTCAGCGTGCCGGGTGCCAGGTAGGGCGAGGGGGCGACTCTCCCATGCCGGGTCCCCCTTCCCTCCGCCCGCACTCACCGGCAGCCGCGGGGCGCATCTTCCAGCTGCGGCTCCGGACCCTCCGGAGCCTGGGCCGCAGCTCAGGGTGACCGAGGGAGCCTCGCAAGGACTGGGCGGACCCCTGGGCGACACGCCCCGGGGGCCGGCCGGCGGCGGGGAGGGCGGGCAGGTGCGCGGGGCAGGTGCGCCGGTGGCGCCCTCGATCTCCGGCTCGGCGGCCCAGGCTGACTGGGGACCAGCGAGAGCGGGCGGGTTTTGCTCTGAAGGGAGGACCCCGTCCCTTTACGGTTGGCGGCCCCAGACCCCAATCGAATGTCTCACAAAGTCAAGTGACCGCCAAGATAGGCATATTAGGCATACTCTGAGTCTTTGAGACGTCAAAGCCAAGTCCCAGGGAAATCCAGTTTCGAAGTGCAGGTCCCCGTTCTAAGGCTGTTTAACTTCCTGCCCGCTGCTGTTTGCACAGCCCAGCAGGCTTCCTCCTTTGCTCCTGGTTGATCAGGGAAAATAGGGTGAGCACGATGTCCCAGGCCCCATGGTCAGGGCGGCAGGCCTGCAGGTCCTTGGGTTTACAGGAGGCCAGGCTCTGGTGGGAGTTAGGCTTCCCAGAAGATGGCCCACTTCCAAGAAGGAACAGCTGCTCCTCCGCGCCACATGTGGGCTTGCATTCCAGACATCCATCAGGTTTTACAGAGCTTTTGAAACCACTGTAGTCACAGAGGCCTCAGGCTCCCAAGGGTAAGTTAAGGCTCCAAGGGCAGTTGGTCACTTTTGTGGCAAAAGAGTTCCAGAGAGGCAGGGTCGCCACCCTCGGTGTCCACTGGCTCCTGCAGTTCTGCTTCCCCGAGAAAGCCCGGAGGCTTCCACAGTGACGCAAAGTACCCTGGGGTGTCACGGGGGGCTTGGCTGTGACCCGCCCTCTACCACCGTCTTTGCCTCCTGAGAAGCTCCCATCCATCCGGTGCCATCCAGGGGGCCTGGGGACACATGCCCTGTGGACAGTGTGGCCTTATTTTTCTAGGTCACCCTCTGCCTGCTGTCTTCTAAATCAGAGGGAACAGAAGACAGGGGTCTCAATTAGGAATCCTTCCCGAGGACTTCAGAACAGTACCCGGCCCGAGCATGGCTCGTTTCAGTGTGGATGCCTTTCTGAGCTGCTCTACAGCGATACTCAGAAGTCATTCTCCAACTATGCCTAACAATTACATTAAACACATCGATCAGCTCATTAAAGGGAGTGCTGGTTTCATCTGCCAAGAATCTCACCTTTGTCTTGAGCTCACTTCATTTCAGAGATGGAGCTTTTGTCTCTGGGTTTGCTTTCAGGTTTTTGTTTTTTTTTTTAAACGTGGTCAAAAAGTACGTAACATAAAATTTATCACCTTTTACCAAATTAAAAAACATACACTTTTAAGTGTACAGTTCAGTAGTGTTAAGGGTATTCACATTATTGCACAACAGAACCGCAGAACCTTTTCATCTTGCAAAACTAAAGCTCTGCTACTATTAATCGTCAACTCCGCATCTCCTTCCCCCCTGCACCTGGTAAACCACTGTTCTATTTTCTCTTTCCAGACTTTGACTACTTCAGACGCCTCATATAAGTGGAATCATGCAGTGCTTGTCTTGTTATAACTGGCTTATTTCCCTTAGTGTAATGTCCTCAAGGTCCATCCATGCTGTAGCATGTGACGGGATCTCAACCCTTTTGAAGGCCAAATAATATTCCATGACATGTATAGATAGACCACATCTTGTTTCTCCGTTCATCCCTTGATGAACACTTGGGTTGTTTCCACTACTTAACTAGTGTGAAGAATGCCGCTGTGAACATGGGGGTGTAAATATCTCTTCAATTCTTTTGGGTATATACCTGAAGTGGGATTGCCGGATCATATGGTAATTCTATTTTAATTTTTCTGAGGAGCCATCGTACTGTTGTCCACAGCGGCTGCACCATTTTACACTCCTAATAACAGTGCACAAATGTTCCAATTTTTCCACATCCTCACCGACACATTATTTTCTGTTCTTTAAAGCTTTTATAGTAGTCATCCTGAAGGATGTGGGTGATACCTCAGTGTATAAAATGATAGGTATCAGAGGTAAACATTACTTGTAATACACATGAAAAATGTACATGAAATGCATGTAAGTAAAAAAGCAGGAACAACCAGGGGACATTGATGCATATAAAAAGACTGGAAACACATAAAAATGAAAAAGCGGTTGCATTTCCCTGAGCATACTATAAAGCCACTTTACTTTTAAAATTTTGAAAATAAACGTGCACTGAAAAATAATACACCCTCTGCTTCGCTCCCCCTCCCAAACTCATGTTTCCCTGGGCCACCGGCTCATCTTCAAAGCTCTTCTCTCTCTAATAGCCCCTTGCCCCACAGCAAGCCTGATCCATAGGAGTCCCCTCCACAGGTATGTGCCCCCCACCCCCAGGTCCAGAGTTCCGTCCTCAGAGACCGCCACTGTCCCTATAGCCTTCAGAGCTATTCTCTGCTTACGCAAGCCCATATATATTTCCCTCATCCTTTTTACACACAAGGTATCATGTTGTACATGGTATTTCACAACTTACCTTTTACGTTATTTGTAATATCTCGGAGAGCATGGTACATAAGCACACACACACTTGGCCTGCTCTTCTTGACTCCTGTATTCTATTCTACCACTGGATTCTTTTGCTGTTTTATTGTTCTATTCTTTTATTATTCTATTCTTTTATTGTTTGATGAACCATCTTTTACTGTTGGATTATGGATCTTTTAACCACATATTCTATTGTTGCATGAACCTATTCTTTAAGTAGGCTGCAGAAGGGCATTTTTGGTTACCTTCAGTCTTTTCTGCTATTAAGAATGCCGCAATGAACACCTTTGTGCATCCATCCTGGCATAAATATTGGGGTGGATTTAAAACAAATTCCTATAAGTGAATTACTGAATTAAAGGGTATGTGAATTCTGAATTTTACCAGATATTTCCCACGGCTCAACAGAGAAGTTACACCCGTTTACACGCCCACCATCAGCATACGAGAATGCCTATTTGTTCATACCTTTCCCAACACACCGTATTATCCAACTTTTTGATCTATACTAATCTATTGTTGAAAAAAAATCTTAATATTGTTCTAATTGGCTCTCTCATTAAAGTGACGGCCTTGGCATGCTTTCATCAGTTTAAAAGCCATTTGTGATCTTTGTGTATTTCTTTTTTTAATTTTTTGTTGCTTTTTTATTGGAGTATAGTTGCTTTACAATATTGTGCTAGTTTATACGTACAGCAAAGTGAATCAGCTATACGTATACATGTATCCCCTATTTTTTGGATTTCCTTCTCGTGTAGGTCACCACAGAGCATTGAGTAGAGTTCCCTATGTTGTGCACATTTCTTTTTCCGGGAACTATCTAGTCACATACGTTGCCCATTTTTCTATTAAGTTGTTAGCCTTTTTTTTTTTTCTGATTATAGTAGCCTCGAGAAATAATTTGTGGACTAGATAATACATATACATAGTTCAATTTGTAAACGTATATTAAAAGGTAGGTAGTGATAAACCACCTCCCTACTCCTGCATCCTCTCTATCCAATAGAGAACCAAGGTTATTCATTTCTTGGGTGTCCTTCCAGAAGTTCTCTGTACATATTCAACAAATAAGAGTATCTTCCCCCCCACACTTTAACAAACCGTAACATCCTCTCACTCTGACCCACATCTTGCTTCTCAAGATACCTTGGAGAGTGAGCTGCTTGTGTACACAGAGCTCTTCCTCATTCTTTCCACACCTGCAGAGCATCCTACAGCAAAGATGGACCACAATTTACCAGCTGTTTCTTTTCCACCTTTTGTTAGGACTACTACTCTGTAATGAAAACCTCTCACATAGAATGTTTCACTTATGTGAAACAAGTAAATAAATAAATTCCTAGAAGAACTGCTGGGCTTGTCTACTGGTAATCCTGAGATTTTGCCAAAACAGACCCGGATGGATGTTTTATTCACTGACATGCCCCCACTCCCCTGCCCCCCAGCTGTGTTTGTGCATGTTTCATTTCATAGGCTTTTCAGGGACTTCCCTGGTGGCCCAGTGGTTAAGAATCTGCCTGCCAATGCAGGAGACACGGGTTTGAGCCCCGGTCCTGGAAGATCCCACATGATGCGGAGCAACTAAGCCCATGCACCACAACTACTGAGCCCACGTGCCACAACTACTGAAGCCCACGTGCCTAGAGCCCGTGCTCCACAACAAGAGAACCCACCACAATAAGAATCCCACGCACTGCAGTGAAGAGTAGCCCCCACTCAATGCAATTAGAGAAGGCCCGCGCACAGCAACAAAGACCCGACGCAGCCAAAAATAAATAAATAAATAAATTTATATTTAAAAAAAAAAAAGAGTCCGCCTGCCAATGCAGGACACACGGGTTTGAGCCCTGGTCCCGGGAGATCCCACATGCCACGGAGCAACTGATCCCCTGCAGCACAACTACTGAGCCTGTGCTCTAGAGCCGGCGAGCCATAATTACTGAGCCCGCGTGCCACAACTACTGAAGCCTGCGCACCTAGAGCCTGTGCTCCGCAACAAAGTGAAGCCACCGCAACGAGAAGTCCGCGCACTGCAACAGAGTATCCCCCGCTCACCGCAACTAGAGAAAGCCCACGCGCAGCAACGAAGACCCAAAGCAGCCAATGAATAAATAAATAAAAATATTAAAAAATTTTTTAAAAAAAGGCTTTTCAAGGATAATTTTTTACTGCTTGATTTTCACCTTACTTGCTTACTTTGGGAAAGCACTGCCATTTAAGAAGAGGCTTTCCAAAAAAAATAAATAAATAGACATTCTGGGGCTTCCCTGGTGGTGCAGTGTTTGAGAATCTGCCTGCTAATGTGTGCAACTAGGCCCGTGAGCCACAGCTACTGAGCCTGCGCGTCTGGAGCCTGTGCTCCGCAACAAGAGAGGCCGCGGTAGTGAGAGGCCTGCACGCCGTGATGAAGAGTGGCCCCCGCTTGCCACAACTAGAGAAAGCCCTCACACAGAAACAAAGACCCAATACAGCCAAAAATAAAATA